GCAATGAAACAGGAGATCAAAGAACTAGAAGAGAATGGCACATGGGAAGTGGTAGACCTTCCAAAAGGAAAAAAATGCAATAGGCTCAAAATGGGTGTACATGATCAAATATTAAGCAAATGGAGAAGTTGAGAGGTTCAAGGCCAGTCTTGTAGCAAAAGGCTATAGTAAAAAAGAAGGCCTTGATTATCATGATATTCTCACCAGTTGTTAAAATGGTGACAGTAAGGTCAGTCATAGCACTTGTTGTGTCTAAAGGCTGGACTTTATGGCAAATGGATGTATACAATTCCTTCCTACAAGGAGATCTATGTGAAGAAGTGTATATGGATATCTTGAGTGATTCAGAAGACTGGGGGAGTCAACGGTTTATAGGTTGCTCAAGTCCTTATATGGACTAAAGCAAGCATCTAGACAGTGCAACATAAAGTTAACAGATGTATTGCTGGATGAAGGATTTGTCCAAAGCAGTCATGATTATTCATTGTTCACACCAAATAAGTCTAGTGAAATAGTGATTGTTTTAGTTTATGCTGATGATTTACTCATCACAGGGAGCAGTATTGAGCTGATTAGTGAGGCAAAGAAAGTATTAAATCAGAAATTCAAAATGAAAGATCATAGGAGATGCAACCCTACAGGACATCAATTCATACCAGAGATTGATAGAGAGACTGATGTATGTAATTATCACAAGGTCTGACATCAACTATGCAGTTCAGACCTTGAGTCAGTTTATGCAGATGCCCAAGAAATCCCACTGGGAAAATGCAACAAGGTTGGTAAGATACTTGAAGAATTTACCAGGACAAGGTATTTGGTTGAAGGCATGAATCACACAATAGAGAAGAAAAGATAATAATACTCATATAGAAAGATTCAAAGACAAAAATCCAATATTTAATCACCAAATTAAGCTAAAGTTGCCTAAAGCAGTAAAGAAAAACGGCTACAGGAGTTCTGATCTTCAAAAACTTGACCTAATTTCGTGAAAGTAGTCTATTTATAAAAAGCTGGAAATTTCAGACAAAATTGCCCTTTCGAAGGTTCTGCGGCCGCACAATTCGATGTGCGGTCCGCACTTCTCTTGGGTATTGATAGGAGCTGGATCTGCGGATGCACAATTCTGGAATACGGGCGCATGTCTCAAGTTCCGCGGTCCGCCCAAATATGAGTGCGGCCACATGGCTGATTTCTGCGGCCGCACAATAAATGTGCGGTTCGCATATCCTTTAGGCTTGAAATGAGATTTTTTTGAACTTGAGCTCTAGCATAGCTTCTGTGGCCACACAATTATTGTGCGGTCCGCACTTTGCACTAAGGCTCTGTTGGATTTTCTTTGCATTCTGCGGCTGCAGATGGAATTCTGCGGTCCGCACGTGAGCTTTTGTGCCTGGTTTTTATCCTTGAGTTCACATTACTCCTTTTTGAGTTGGATTTCATCTTTGTGGCTCATTTTCCAATACTGCTGTATTTAAGCACATTTCAGCAGTTTTCAAGAATATAATTAAGCACTTTTGGACCAAAATGAAAGCTAAAAGGCGCTAATAAGTAGTCAAAATTCCCGCTTATCAGTATGACACAGGATGCTTTGTGCATCGTGATAAGTAAGGATTTTGACCGCTTATTTTCTCTCTTTTACTTGCGTTTTAGCTAAAAAAATGCTTAAAGGTATTCCCGAAAACTAACGAAATGTGCTTACTTGCAGTAATATTGGGAAACGAGCCAAATCAAAATCAACTCATAAAGAAGTCAAAAGTGAACAAGAGCTAAAACTGGGCAAAGAGGCTAGTAGTGCGGCCGCGGAATGAGATTAGGAGAGAAGGTTTTAGCAAGCTCAGATAGTGCGAACCGCACAAAAAATATGTGGCCACAGAAGGACAAGTGCGGCCGCAATCATTATTATGTCGTCCGCAAGATTGAAGAATCAGAGAGTTGATCAAAGTCCAAAAGCTGAAGAGTGCGGACCGCATCACTTTTGTGCGGTCGCAACCAGCGGACCGTAGAAGACCTCAAGGTCCAGGACCAAGTTCCCAAGTGTGCAGACCGCACTAGAATTGTGCGGCCGCAGAAGTCCATTTTGCGGTCCGGATCAGAATTATGCGGCCGCACAACCTCCGTAGGGGCATTTTTGTCAGATATTTTCAGCATAGCATAAATAGAATTTTTTTTGTCATTTTTAGGTTAAGTTTAGTTTGCAGAGGTGCACCTGAGCGTTTTTCTTTACTTCTTTGAGTAATTTTGTATTAGATTGACTTCTTAACGCTAGATTTTCTTTGTTTAATCAATGATTATGCATTCTATCTTAATTTCTTTTTGTATTTCTTTATTTTTCATGAGTAGCTAAATCTTTAGCTAGGGTTATGGCTCAATCCTAGTGTGGTTACTTAACGGGTATTTAATTTTAGGGCTTCTTTGTGATTGAGTTAGTGATATTTAGCCTTGTTTATGCTTAAACCCTAGTATTAATGGTTGCAAAAATTGATTCATGCCTTTTTGATCTAGTCTTTGCTTGAGAAAGAGAGACTAGATCTAGGAAAACTTGGCTAACAAGGAATTGGGGTGAACTCAAGAAATTGATAGCCCCAATTAAAGGGTCAAATCTAGAGATAGTGAGACCCGACTTGAGCATATATCACTTGATTTGTGCAATACCCATTTGGGCTTGAGAAAGCCAAATTGGGCACAATCACTCAAACTACCAAGAGGTATGCAGTGAGCAATTGCGTGTGGTTGCTATACCACGACCCAATAAATTAAACTTGCCCTATAGTTTACAACCCGTTAGGTAGCCACCTAGGTGGAGGTCACGACCGTAGATTCCTTTATCATTTGAACAACACTTTCTTCTAGTTAATATTTGCAATGATTAGCTAAAACTAGAAATAGAAAACAACCCATGAATATGTGGAAGTACAATCTAAGGCACTTCATACATTTACTCTAGTTTTGTACCTGACCCAAATTCTAACTCCCTGTGGATTCGATCCCGACTCGTGTTAGGTTTATTAATGTTTCAACCGCCTCATTGCCTAATTATGGTGTGAGTTTGGGTGAGATCACACCGCTGCCCTTTTTTTGTATTATAAATACTTTTGGGACAATATTTTCTACTACTAACTAAATAGTACATAAATATGTAAGAAAATCCTATAAACCATTTTTTATGAAAAATATTTTTCTTCATACTAAACACACCATTAGAGTTGACCTTTTCCCGGTACCCGGCTCTAGGATCATGAATCACTTCTCTAAGGAACTTAGCAACGTATATGTTTAACTTATTGATAGTAACTGAGTTCTTAAAATCAAAATTGTGGCATTAATCTAATTGGTGACAGATTACTGTAAAGGTTAACCATCGTTCCTCACGTTGTCATTAATTTTCTTCTGTCCTAGCTGCAATCAAAAAACAGCGCTAACGGCCTCTCTTTTTATTTATGATGTATCGACTTGATTCACATTCACTTTAGGAAAGGATTTCTTTCTCCTCAAAGTAGGTGTTCGCTCCGCAGCACGAACAGGTCGAGATGCGACGTCGATCACAACGGGTGAGGCCATTATCCTAGAGCAGAGCTTGAAGTAAGGGTCAGAACTTTAGACAGGGGCCTCTTTCGATAGAGCTAAAGCAGTCATTCATTAATCCACCCTTGACATACTAAGGAAAACGGCTGATCCAATTATTAGACAAAAGTTTTCCACTTGTATGCAATTAATTAATTTACTTGGTGTTGCACAATTATTGCTCACAACGGAATATTATCTCATTAAATTCGCCTTATTTTGAGTTTTGTGAAGGATAAAGAACGGGAAGTGCTTCTGAAAGGAAAACCAAAATTAGTGATAACTCTCTTAATTTTTTTGTCTCATAATTATGATATTCGAAAACTAACTTGCGAACTTAATATTGGAATAAGATGGAAAGCATTCGTTGATTGATTAAAAAAATTTCATAGAAATTGTAAGTTGTATGGTGTGATCGATGTTGGAAAATATTGACAATGAATTCTTTTATTTCTGCAAGACATGCATTATCTTTTCATGTACGGCGGTTAAAAGAAAGTGAATCTTTTAATTTTTATATAATTATAATATAAAATAGAAAGAAATTTTTTATTATTATATATAGGCCTTGTTCATCCTCCCTCTTGATCTGAGGTGCGAAGTTCTAAACTACTGTGTGCCTATTTTTCGCTTTTCACATTCAAAGTCAAAGGTTTGTTGGTGACAAGATCGGTATGTCTTCTAGTTGTAGTTGACTTTAAGCGCACCTGGACTACCGTAGTCATCTATTTACGAAACAAATGAAATGCTGGGTAAAAAAAGCATTTCAATTTGATTCTGCATCTGAATAATTATTTTCTTGATAGTTTTACCAATTTCCCAACAATTTTTAGAATATCTATTCGTGCAGAAATTTTTAAAATTGGACGGATTCGATAAGAATATATAAACTTCACAATACATTAACGGCTTGAGTTGGCGGGGCATTGAGATAGTTGTTCAAGGTCTCACGTAACAACTTAATTTTCGATGTGAATTTAAATATCATAATAATTTAGAAACTATAAAAAAAGTTTTAAGCCAATATATATTGAGAAAATTATGGTTAAAGAAGAAGTTCTATGACTCTCCAAATGGTAATAGTATAACATAAAGTGGAAAGAGAGGATAAACACAAAGGAAATATACGACGATCCCTTCGATTTCACTTAATTTTATGCATACATGTAAAGGAAAAAAGACGTATACAAGTAAGTTCACAAATATATATATATATATATATATATATATATATATATATATATATATATATATATAAACATGACATGACCATCTACCTATAGTAAGTGAATGGATATTGCTGATACATTTATTCATACTTCCAACAACAAAACGAAAAACGAAAAGTGACACATAATTTAGAACAGGAAAGGGTACCACACACACAATATATAGCCACGACGAATATTCTTCATCTATATTCCTTCGTAAATTAATTAGTTGCGAGGCCATACTCCATACCAACCACCTCTAGGATAACCTCCATAGCCACCACCATATCCACCATTTCCGCCTCTTGGATAACCTCCATAATATCCACGACCACCAGGGTATCCACCATATCCGCCACCAGGGTATCCACCGTATCCTCCTCTAGGGTATCCTCGAAATCTTTCTACAGGGTATCCACCATAGCCACCATATCCACCATATCGCCCTCTTGGGTAACCTCCATAATATCCACGACCACCAGGGTATCCACCAGATCCGCCACTAGGGTATCCACCGTATCCTCCTCCAAGGTATCCTCGAAATCTTTCAATAGGGTATCCACCATAGCCACCATATCCACCCTATCGCCCTCTTGGATAAACTCCATAATATCCACGACCACCAGGGTATCCACCATATCCGCCACCAGGGTATCCACCGTATGCTCCTCCAGGGTATCCTCCAAATCTTTCTACAGGGTATCCTCCAAATCCGCCTCCTCCGACTTCTGGAAATCCTGCTCCTAAAAAATTCGAGTAATTTACATCATCATTTTTATTTTCGGGTACTTTTGCTGTGCCAATATTAATCATACATGAGTTTTTAACTCTCATGCATTAATTATCAGTGTATAAATTTTTTCATATCGTCAAGTTAAGTTGATGTATAATAGAAGTCCATAAAAGTTACCTCGTAACTTGAGGAGTTGGTTTAAATGAAAAATATTAAACTCTTGAAATATACTAAGCAAATATTTTATATTTAGGAAAGTGAAAAATGTCTAAAAAGAAAGGAATTATACCATTGTCCGCAGTACTGGGGGTGCTCTCAGCCAACTCCCTAGCTGCAACCTTTGATGTTATCACAAGTAAAATAGCCAAAACAATAATCATAAATACCTTTGATCCCATTTCTTTTTTCTTTTTTGAAAATATAAACTTATATAACTACTACTTTAGTTGTGATAATTATAAGAAGGATGAGGTAACTAATGAAAATTTTGCTTCTATTTATAGCATAATTATCTGAACATCTTGGGGGCTATTATTGCAAATTGCATGGGACGTACTGGACTAGGTTATTTAATTAAGTTGGCAGTTTTTTAGACTCGACTTTTCCATAAAACAACCTACAAATGATTTCTCTTAAATAACTATAAATAGCATATTCCTTTAGCTAGGGCAAAGAAAATATATATGGCTAAGAATTGAACATATCATGCTGTTTGTGTTTGCTATTTGGATATCTTTTTTTGTATTACATAATTTAACCTAACGACTTGAGTTAAGCTATATATCAAAATCGTAATAAAAATCTTGAGTTACTAACTTGATATATTAGTTTACAAATGATAAGGTACTTGTTTTTTTGAGTGAATGAGATGAGAAATTTCAAAGATGTAATTTCCAGTCAAAAAAAAAAAAAAAAGATGTAATAAAATATTGAAGCATAGAACTATCTCGTTTAAAAATTTAAGTTATTAGAGAATCACACTGTTATTTACTTAATTATATATTATCAACATGTCTTTTCATGTGCGAGCTTGATTCTTTTTTATGAGTTAAGAACGTGAATTTTTTTTTTTTTTGATAAAGGATGATACCATAAAGTGTATAATTATCTCATCTAAAAGTTTAAATTATTAGAGGGGCATACTTTTATTTACTTAATGATATCTTAAAAAAAAGGAAAAAAGGGTAAATTGAACAAAGGAATGTAGAACAAACCAAACCATATGCAGAAACTAAACTTGATCAGTTTAGAATCAAACTAATATGTAGACATTGATGTTAAAACTGAGTGATTGTAGATTGTAGTTGTGGGACTAAGCCTATTCTAGCCTGTATACGGTCGAAATTAGGTATGCCCGATTTTCCGGGCTCGAGGGGTCACCTTAAGCCCGAGTTCAGGCAAGGTCGAGTTCGAGCTCGATGGGCCAGACTCGAGCTCGAAGATAGAGTGCAATACCCGAGGATCGAAGTACGATGAGTATCGAAGCCGAGTATGCTCAACCCCGAGGTAATGCCGTTACGGATTTGTAACAGAATGAGCGAGATTCCTACCATGTCCCTAAGATCATGGCGTAAATCCCGGAATAGATTTGTACGAATCCGTACTAGGCGGTTAGACAGCGATCTCAATAAGATTCTTTACTGTAAATGAAAACGTACCTTTTTTACGGTTCCCCTATTATATAAAGGGGACCCCGATCATTTGTAAAGATCTATCTAATCATTGGCAAAGAATAAACTCTCTTACTTTTCTCGCTCATTGTTCATCAGAATTATCCTTTAGCTTTACTATTCTTGCTTTACTGTTCTTGTCCATCTCGAGGTCACTAGGCTCGAGGTCGATACTGCCTAGTAACACTGGTTTGATTCACTCATTTCTTTCATTTATACGTTATACTTCTCTTGATTACTAACTAGTATTGAACTAAATTACATTTCTTTAAAACCACAAATCAAATTTAATTACTACTCGTATTTGCGAGGTAAACAGTTTGGCGCCCACCGTGGGGTGAAAGATAATAGTGATTATTTCAGTACTGATTCTGATAACACACGTTATTCTCACACTTGTTCTTGTCAAGATTTTTTGTTCTCAGGATTTAACATGCCAAACTCGCAAAACGCACAAGTTCACGACAATGAAGGTCTTGGATTTAATGGGAAAATAACGATGTAGGGGTCGGTGTACCACCGATAAACCTTGGGGAAGTGCCAAATGTGGAACCAATTTATGTTAGTTCGCACATTGCTTTGAATGCAGATTTAGACGCAGACCCCGGAGGAAGTGTACGCAGGGAAGCCCGATCTGGGGGCCAAGGAACACAAGTTATAGGAGATGGGGAAGGCAGCCTCCAAGTGATATTCGAGATGCTGCAAGCTCAGCAGATTGCCATCGCTCAACTTCAGAGTCAGAATAAAACTCCGAGTGTAGCCGAACCAGAAAACACTCAACGTGCTGAATCGGTGCCAGAGAGGTCAAACGAAAATGGCTCGGGGACTGACCCCACCTTTATGAGAATTCTTGAAGAGCTCACCAAGAGGATCGAGTCCGAGGAAAAGAAGATTGAGGACAATGAAAAAAAGGTGGAAACTTATAACTCCCGTGTTGACCAAATACCGGGGGCACCCCCGGTCCTGAAAGGTTTAGATCCAAAGTTCATACAAAAACCATTCTCTCAGAGAGCAGCTCCAATGCCTATTCTAATAAGTTTTGCATGCCCGATATACCCAAATATAACGGGACAACCGACCCTAATAAACATATTACCTTATATACTTGCGGGACTAAAGTAAACGACCTGAATGATGATGAGATTGAGTCAATATTGTTGAAAAAATTTGGAGAAACTTTGTCGAAAGGAGCCATGATTTGGTACCACAACTTGCCCCCGAACTCTATCGGTTCGTTTGCTACATTAGCAAACGCCTTCGTGAAAGCACATGCTGGGGCCATCAAGGTGGCGATGAGGAAATCGGACGTTTTTAAGATAAAACAGAGGAACAACGAGATGTTAAGGGAGTTCATATCGCGGTTTCAGATGGAGGGAATGGAACTACCACCGGTCTCAGATGATTGGGCAGTACAGGCTTTTATGCAAGGTTTGAATGAGCGGAGTTCGATCACGTCTCGACAATTAAAACAGAATCTGATCGAGTATCCAGCTGTGACGTGGTGAGACGTGCATAATCGTTATCAACCAAAAATCAGGGTTGAGGACGATCATTTGGGAGCCCCATCGGGTTTAGTTCATCCTAATAGATTGGCAGCCAAGCCCCAGAGGGATACAGACAGGGAATCAAGATCAAACAAGGAACGATATCAGCCGTATGTCGATCGGAGAAACAACGGCTCGGGTGGTAACACTCCTCGGAATGATCAAAGAAATGATCGAGGTTAGAGCTCTCGGGGACTCATGAGTAAGAATGAGTTCGATAAACATACCGACCCCGCAAAGGCACCTCAATTGTCGGAGTATAATTTCAGTGTAGATGCGTCAGCGATCGTGCAGCTATTGGATGAATCAAAGACACTAGATGGCCCAAGCCTATACAAACTGATCCTTCTCAGAGGAATCCAAACTTTATGTGTAAATATCATGGCACATATGGCCAATAGAACCGAGGACTGCAGGAAGCTATGGGAGGAGGTAGCTCGGTTGTTCAACCAGGGGAACCTTCAAGACTTTCTCAGTGATCGAGCTAAGAACCACTTAAGGGAGAGAGATGCAAGCAGAAAAAATGAGCAGGAAGAACCATAACATGTAATCCACATGACCGTTGGCAGTGTCGATGTCCCACAAGGACCTGTATTCAAGCTCACCAAGGTTCGATCACCAGAGAAAATAGACTCGGAGCTATGTGCCTGAGGACGTCATGTCATTCTATGACGAAGAAGCAGAAGGCATATCTCAGCCGCACAACGGCGCCTTGGTAATTTCTATTCTTTTAAATAAAATTCAAGTTAAACGTGTTCTAGTGGATCCAGGTAGCTCAACAAACATAATCAGATCGATGGCCGTAGAATAGCTCGGCCTACAGGATCAGATTGTACCTGCAGCCCGGGTCCTAAATGGCTTCAACATGCAAGCGAAACAACAAAGGGGAGATAACCCTACCAGTGAACGTAGCCGTGACCATACAAGATACAAAATTCCATGTCATCGAACGCGACATGAGGTATAATGCACTCATCGGTAGACCATGGATACAAAATATGAGGGCAGTACCTTCAACTCTTATGGAGAGCAGCACGCTGCAAAGGAAATGTTTGCAATCGATGAAGTGACTCCGATACCAGAGCCTTCGACCTCGAAAAAGTCAAACATCAAATGTAAGCAGACGGCTAAATAGCAATCACCACCCACAGCCTCAACGGAATTGGAGCAACAGGTAATCGAAGATGAAGAAGAGGATTTCCTTACTCCTCGAACTTTCGTCGTTCCCGAAGAGTCCGATGCATCCAAGTCAACGGTCAAGGAACTGGAGCAGTTCATACTGATCGAATACATGCCCGAGAGAAATGTATAACTGGGAACGGGATTAACCCCCGAACTAAGGAAAAAACTCATTCAATTTCTTATTGATAATATGGATTGCTTTCCTTGGTCCCATTTAGATATGACAGGGATTCCACCAAAAATAACAACTCACCGGCTAAGCCTCGACCCCAGGTTCAAACCGATAAAGCAAAAAAGGAGGCCCAGTCCGAGATAAAGCATGCATTCATAAAGGACGAGGTAACCAAACTTCTTAAAATAGGGTCTATTCGGGAGGTAAAATACCCCGAATGGTTAGCCAACGTAGTTGTAGTTCCTAAAAAAGGAAACAAACTTAGAATGTGCGTAGATTACAAGGATTTAAACAAAGCATGCCCAAAAGACTCTTTCCCACTACCCAACATTGATCGTATGATCGATGCCACGGCCGGCCACGAGATCCGACCTTTTCTCGACGCCTACTCCGGGTACAATCAAATTCGGATGAACCCGGAGGACCAGGAAAAGACCCCGTTTATCACTAAATTTGGAACTTATTGTTACAATGTAATGCCCTTCGAGCTAAAAAATACAGGAGCTACATGATAACTAAGGATTTTGACGCATTTTATATACCCTCTTTCTTATGCTTTGATCAAATATTCATACAAAATAGTCCCAAAAGGCTCAAAAGTTGTGCTTGATAGCAGGTTTGATCAACAAAGTGACAAAATATCAAAGATCGGCTCAAAAGGAGTGAAACTTGCACAAGTGCCAAAGACAAGTCAAGCTCAGGCAGAACAAGCCCAGTGCGGCCGCACTACCATTTAGTACGATCCGCGCTAAGATCACTGCGGCCGCAGTTCATTCTCTGCGGTCCGCGGTGAGGAGAATCAGAGAGTTTCTTTTTCGGAGTCTCAAGCC